ATTTTTTATTAAAATTTTGTTTTTGTTCTTTTATTTCTCTAATTGACGAATTATTTCATCTCTGTATTCATTACTTCTTTTTATAATGGATTATTCTAACAATAAAGCCAAAAAGCATGGTTTTTGCATTTGTCAGTTTTTTGTGTGTTTATTATCAAAAGTTAATATATTGTTTCGTCAAGTTATTGAAAATACCTTGAATCAACTTTCGGAAACAACTTTTTGAAAATATCCAAAAATCTGGGATGAAAATTTGTTATATTTGAGTTGGTCCTAATAGACCACCCTAGTGTATGGGTGTTAGTCCGGCTGAGGTCGTCCATCGGAGTGTTAGAAGACAAATCTAAATCTTTTATTCAATAAAGCCGAAAAACTCAATGAAGGTTTTTCACAAATACTTTTAAAAGAGATAAAGAGGACTCATTATCCGTTTTATTAATAATTCAAATGTGAACAAAATGTATCAAATGAATTTTCCTTTTGGATTGTTCACACCTTGGCAAAAAGTGATTAACACATACTCATATATGGAGCTTGTGCTGAACGAATATGGGTATATTGTGTTGTTCTCTCTTTTTTCAACTACTGCCGAACCAGCATAACGGATGTTGTAATATTTATTTATAAAATGATGGTATCGATCAATCATTCTGAAGTAATCAGCTTATCATCAGTTCTACGGGTACACAAAATGGATGTGATAACAGATTTTTAGGTTATGGTCCCAATAGCCAATAGAAAACACAAGTGTAACTGTAAATAACACTAATCATTTCCTTAAAACTGCTTCTATTTGTTATATGATATATATGAAATTAATTTACTGGTCTGGGGACTCAAATTTTAACGCACATATTTTTCAGCGTGAATTATTTTTTAACATTTTTGCAACAATTCAAGACTTGTTTATTATTATTTGTTATCACCGGCATGTCACCGGACTGGATCTTAATAGAACTCCCAACTGACGAATCATTTTTTTTGTGTTGAAATAGCAATGAATGGCAATATAGTTGCAAAAGGTAAACTTTTTGGAATATGAATTGGAAGAGTATTTGGAAGTGTCATTTCCAGAACTATGGTTTAAACATGATGGATGTTCTGCCAATTCCACTCTAGTGACGTTTATTAATGACTGAATAGGAAATTTGGTAGTAAATGGTTATTCTCCAGACCTTGGATCATTGCATCATTTCCTATGGAAAACAAAACGTATACGCAAGGATCAAACTCTTAATAGTAGGTAATCAAGAGCTTGAAGCATCCATAACATTTTGTTGTAGAAATCATGTTGTCAATGTATTGTTGTATGCGAAGGTATTGCAATCTACTTCTGAATAATTTTTGAAGAAACCAATTAGATGTGTTTGGNACACAAAGGAAAGAAAAATGAATAAACGAATTTCCATCTACTTAGAAAAAAAACATAGACAATAAACATTAACTATCTATAGCAAAGAGTATCAATCAGTTCATGGAAAATATGTCTATTTTCTGAAAGTATCCATTTTTTGAGTTCCCTCTTGAGACTGTATTTGTTATGGATCGCTTTAAGATAATTTGGCATTATGTTGTACAATTTTGGTCCTAAATATGTAAAACATTTCTGACCTACTGCTTTATTTGCACTGGGTATGGCAAGATCGGCTGATATTAAGGCCCTTGTATTGAATGGATGACTTTTTTTACTAGTATACTGTTTACGCTGAAGGATATAAAATTTTGCCGTTTTGGAAAACAACTGTCTGATGTCAAGAATTTGTAACTCGATATATAATGAATCAGAAGAAAATCGAAATGATTTGCGATATATTATTTTCAAGATTCGTTTTTGCACATTTTCAAGGGTTTTGACAATTGTTTTGTTTTCTCCACCCCAACCAAGTATTCCATAGTGCAACAAAGATTTCACTATAGTGCATAATAGAGGATCCTGAGCTGTATAAAAGAAAATATTTTTCGTAATTTATAAAACTTGAACATTAGTCCTTGGTATGGGTCCTCGGTATGGGGGTAAGTACTTCTCATATGATGTAAAACAAATTAAATTTGTTTTACTGAGATTTACTGTAAGCAAGTTCTCTTTAAGCCACCTATTATCTGTTTCAAGTCTCTTTCTGCCGCATCTTTCACATTCAACCAGTTTTTGTCCTTATATATGATAACATTATCATCAGGGAACGATATTATAGAACCAACAGTATTTAGGCTAAGGAGCTGATTTATATAAATATTGAAAAGTATCGGTCCAAGTAGTGTCCTGTGGAATACCGCAAATTATTCTTTTTTCATCACTGACTACATCGCTAATTTTTACTCTCTGTTTTCTGTTACCCAAGTAATCTCTGAAAAGATCAAGGTCAACTCCTCTTATACCTATTTTTTCCAACTTTTCCAACAAAAGATCATGACAGATGACAGCAGCAGACGGCATCATTCAACAGAAGAGGCCCATTCCTGCTCATCGTCCGAAAATTAAACGAATTGAGCGGGGAAGTTCTGCGTCAGCCACCATACTTCCCAGACCTCTCTCTAACTGGGACAACAAACTGAATTGAGTTTCAAGCACTTCGATAACTTTCTGACTGGTAGAACTTTCGCACATCAGGACCAGGCAAAAACGGCCTTTGTCGAATTCTGATAACGCATTTTTTTTTGCTGACGGAATTAATCGACTTGTGTTACGTTGAAAAAACTGCACTGATTCCAATGATGCTTATTTCAACTGTATTGAATGAATATTCACTGAGATATTATAGTTTGAAGTAGGTAGACTCATAAAAACGGACAAAACTTTTGGAATTCTAGCGAAGCTACCAATAAAGTATGCACCCATCTATGTCGACAAAACCTGGATAGGTACTTCATTTTGGTGCTCTCATAATCCAATCTCTTCCACAATATATTCTGGAGCTTGCTTTATTCTTTAAAGAACCTTTCTTTTTACTGCTTGAAAGTCGCCTGACCGTGCATAACTTCAATTATTTGAAACTTCATCAATTCACAGTTGATGAGTATTGTTTGTATATATAAGTTCCCAGTCAAACTTAGTTTCATCTTCATAGTCATACTTTTATGGAATATAAAAAATGTGACTAATGTAAACCCAAACCAAATAACCTTCTTTTTAAACTTTAAGAATATGTTCTTGTAATGCACTGTTTAGAACTTTTGGTGTAGTAATGAATATTATTGGAGTTTTATCCCCACGCCAAACCGTTATTTTTAACACTTTGGCACGTGTTTCCATCACCAAGTGATCATCTTCAAGAGGAAGATCCAAATCATCATCTCATAGCTCCCAGATGATAACAGTAACCATTGTCGAAATATTGGAAGTATAATATTATAAAAGTACACTTGGGCTTTCGCTGCTATCCCCGGAGTATTTGTTTGTGGAGTTGTTTCCGCTTTGTCTGCATTGGACATCCTACTGAATCAAATGCAGATAGAGTTTATTACTAGTTGAAATCAATTTTGTTTGTTCGGGATACTCAGACGGTTCATTCCGTCTGAAATGAAATTAATTTCTGTTTTGATGTTGCGACGGATCTTCCAAATGGAAGACGTTGCACAGGTGTCTGATGATTCAATTCGCCCTTCTACGCGGCATTAGCTGGGTTAGTTGTTTTTTATATTGTTATGTTATATTATATTATATANAACATGTTCAGAAACTCCATCCAAAATAAATCATACCCCAAGAAATGAAAGGAAGTCTTTACAAACTGATCGCTCATCTCCTGTGAATTATATAAGTCCCTTCGTAACAATCTCAAGAGGCAAAGATTCTGCTAGAAAGGAATTCAAAGTTCGACAGTCGACTGGTGGTACTTTTTCAAATACTTCTCTAGGCCAGGAAAAATTTTCTGATAGTACAAGCCCGAGAAGGGGAGCAGAGTATTTCACAAGAACACTTGAGAAAGAAATCAATAGGATCGAGTCTATTTGTAGTGAATGGGAAAGATACAAAGATAATGATATTCCGGAAGAGGCGATAAACTTAATCGATGTTGCAGTAGGCCAGTCGAAACTGCTGATTGCTAAAAAATTCAATCAGTTCAGAAATCTAATTGAGGAATGCAGAAGTTGTCAGTATAAAGAAAAACCTATTACTTGTACTGACTTACATGGATTTTGGGATATGATATATATGCAAGTTGGTGACTTAGATAAGAGATTTGCAAATTTGGAAGTCTTGAAAACCAACAACTGGGTAGAGGTGATTCCTGAGAAGAAAGTTACTGCACTGAAAAAAGCAAGAGGCAGACCTAAAAAGGTTACGTCATCGTCATCACTTAGAAATGCGATCCAAGCTGCTAGAAACAAAAAGAAGCAACAAGAAAATGATCTTGTGGAAAACTCAGAGGTTTTTCTTGCCAATTCTCCAGTCCGAAAGTGCCCAACTCCTAATCTCCCAAGTAGTTTAAGAAGAAGCCTACGTGTATCCGTTTTGAATGCACAGATGGAAGTTAACACAAAACGGGTCAGTTCTTCTCTATCGGATGGTTTCCCTGACGTAAAAATTTTGTTGGCAACATTGTTGACAATTGACATTTTAATTTAGTATAAGTTTGATAGATGTTTGAAGTTTACAACGGTTTTTAAAGTTTGTAAAGAGTAAGTTTAGAACGAAATCATTTGGGGTTGAACTCATAATTTTTTTTAAGGTGAAATGGATCTGTCGGAAGTATTTAAAACAGGTTTCAAAAACCTGCATAAACAAAATTTAGAGAAAAACTACCAACAAAAAACGCTCAAAAATCGGATGGAGGACTTCAGTTATTTCAGGAGACAAACCAGAGATACTCTTTTATTACAAAAAAGGAATTTAGATTTGAAAAATATGTCACCTTATTTAACCCCAGAGCCTGTCAGGTCGAAAAAAACTTCTGTCAAACCAAAACAAGATGATATTCAACCCAAGCCAAATAAAGTCGAGACTACATCAAATAAGAGATTGGAAATGTTGAAAAAATGGAAGGAAGATAAAGCAAAACGAATCCAAGAAGAAAAAAAGAATGCAAAACCAATTTTTAAAGTTTGTCATGTTACTAATGACCGAGGTTTACCCAAATTTGAAAAGGAAAAGTCCAAACCCCAAGAAAAGTTCATTTCTAAATTTGCACCTAAAGATCATAAGTTTCATGCTCCCAAAAACATCAAGCCAATAAATATTGGAGTTTCAGGAAAGTCTGCGATAAATTCAAAAACAATGCCATCAAAAAAACTAACTGAAACTACATCAAAAATTCAAGCCCAAAAGAATAAAAGTGATGAACCGAAATTCAATTCTATAAGTTCTCAACGATTACCAACAACAAAAGTAAATAATGGTTCCAGAAAGAATCTCAGATCTGAAGTAAGTAAATGCAGTGTCACTAGGAACACATCAAAGACTGCTGCGAAAATTGCAGATAAAACCAAGAAAAAAGTTGTGGATTGGAATTTGCCTGAGGGAGGAAGTGATAATGAAAATATTTTGGAAAATGGTAATAAAAAGAGATATCAGAAGACACCACAGAAAAGAAAAAATATTGCAACAAACAATACAGATTTAGAAGAGAAACCAAAAACTTCAAATAAGAAGAACACTCTTAAAAGAGAAACTGAACAAAAAGAAGCTATATTTAGTGATGATGAGATATCATTAAAAACACCCATAAGGAAACACTGTAAATCTAGTGTTCAATTCAGATCTGAATTGGAAAATGTAAGGGATTGTTTGGAGAAAAAAGAAACACATATGAAAAATAAAACTGAAAATCAAGAACTCACCAATGACGTAACATGTTCAGAAACTCCATCCAAAATAAATCATACCCCAAGAAATGAAAGGAAGTCTTTACAAACTGATCGCTCATCTCCTGTGAATTATATAAGTCCCTTCGTAACAATCTCAAGAGGCAAAGATTCTGCTAGAAAGGAATTCAAAGTTCGACAGTCGACTGGTGGTACTTTTTCAAATACTTCTCTAGGCCAGGAAAAATTTTCTGATAGTACAAGCCCGAGAAGGGGAGCAGAGTATTTCACAAGAACACTTGAGAAAGAAATCAATAGGATCGAGTCTATTTGTAGTGAATGGGAAAGATACAAAGATAATGATATTCCGGAAGAGGCGATAAACTTAATCGATGTTGCAGTAGGCCAGTCGAAACTGCTGATTGCTAAAAAATTCAATCAGTTCAGAAATCTAATTGAGGAATGCAGAAGTTGTCAGTATAAAGAAAAACCTATTACTTGTACTGACTTACATGGATTTTGGGATATGATATATATGCAAGTTGGTGACTTAGATAAGAGATTTGCAAATTTGGAAGTCTTGAAAACCAACAACTGGGTAGAGGTGATTCCTGAGAAGAAAGTTACTGCACTGAAAAAAGCAAGAGGCAGACCTAAAAAGGTTACGTCATCGTCATCACTTAGAAATGCGATCCAAGCTGCTAGAAACAAAAAGAAGCAACAAGAAAATCATCTTGTGGAAAACTCAGAGGTTTTTCTTGTCAATTCTCCAGTCCGAAAGTGCCCAACTCCTAATATCCCAAGTAGTTTAAGAAGAAGCCTACGTGTATCCGTTTTGAATGCGCAGATGGAAGTTAACACAAAACGGGTCAGTTCTTCTCCTGGTCTTACAATGATGAAAGTAACTCAAGCAATTAAGTCCGGTGATGGAATAACTCCCAGTCGAAGTATTTTGAAGTCAAATATAAATAAATCAGAGAAAAGGATAACAAAATCTGTACTTTTCAAAGAAGATTTAGGAGATAATGAACTATTGACTGAAGTGAATAAGGAAAATAACGCTAGTACGTTGAACTCTAGCATTTCTTGTCCCATTACTCCAACGAGAAGGTCAAAAAGGCTCAATAAAAACACTTAAAATTTAAACATTCAATTTGTAGAATCATTTTTCCATTCTCACCATATTGTTATTGTATATTTGATTTTTTTAATGTTTTATTTTCAAGACATTGCATTTTAATATTACTTCTGGACAATCGTTTCGATATGTACAATTTTATATAGTTAGTACAAATAAATATGTTTTCAAAAAAAATTATCATAGTTTTATGGTTTCTGTAAGTAATAATTGAACAGTTATATACCTAATTGGTGAGGGAAAACCTATTACTAAGATATTGGCTAAAACCATAACTCCTGTTTAATATTTATTAAATAAAAAAGTGAAATGACAGACCAGGTAGAACATATTGTATAAGGAAGTTGAAAATGAGACTAAGAAATACAGTTATTTTTACAAATTGATAACCACTGTTTGAATAAACTTTCATTGATATATAAAATTCTCTTTACTCCAATCACTTTGAACCTCAAACTATCAAATTTTGGTTATTTCATTCAAGTATCAGTTGATTGTGAGATTTTCGTTGGATACTTCATAAAACCAAACCAATACAATAGTTTCCTAAAACATTTTCATACTGACTAAATTCAACTTATTTTGTGCTTAATGTTATAACATTTTGAATCATGTGACCCTTTGGGTAATGACTCGTAATTTTACTTTAAATAAAAATAGGTGAAAATGTTTAGAACATTAAACTATTAGTAATTACCTAGGTAAAAGGTCACATGATTCAAAATGTTATTATGTTATGCACAAATTAAGCTGAATTCAGCCAATATGAAAACACATGGGGAAACTATTATATAACGAAACATGTTATGGTTTTGTAATCTATCCAGTGGAAACCTCTTTGATAAAGTTTTACTCAATCACATTTCTTTGGTTATTTTGCTCACATTCTTACATACATTTCAAAAAGTCTATGATTTCTTTGGAGAAAGTTTTAAAAATTGATTACAGGTGAAGGAAAATGATGGACACGATGCTTATTCCTTCAACTTGAGACTGAAAAATCACATTTCCAGATTCTTTAGACACTAAATAGATTTTTTATCCATGAGAGAAAATAAACTCATACTGGTCAATAATATTTTGTCAGTTATTACAATCATAAACATTCGAGTTTCATGATCTTTTTGAGGCAACCTATATTCATATGGAGTATTTTCCTTAAAATCATCCAAGGATTATCTTCCTTCGGGATCAGCATATAATTATGAAACACCCATATATTAGTAACGATAGGTCCGAAGAGTGGAGTCTTTATAATTCCACATCTAAGTATATTGTCTATATGAAACAGTTGCAACTGGGTCAGAAATAGCTTATTTACAAGGTGAGTTGTTACTTAGGTAGAGGTTATTTGTGACACCTATATTATTAAGGAATATTCAGAAATTACACTACGAGTATTACCTGACAAGATGATAAAACATTCAGTACATAAAAACTCAATTAAATAACCATCAATTATGCAACGGCCATACCACATTGAAAAGTGCCAGTTCTCGCCCGTCCGAACATATCTTTAGTTATTCTATGTCCCATAATTCGAAAAAATATTAACTTGAGAAATGTATTCACCTCTTTCATAAACTGTAGAAATATCGATTAAATTATAACATTTGTAATTATAATGGGCACTTCTGAGATCTATCAAACTTAAATAAAATTTCTCGTTAAATTTAGTCCGACATGCAATTGTGACAAATGTATTGGGACTCTCCTCTAGAACAGGCTTCATGTGACCATCCCTTGCATTCAATGCACATACACTCAAACCACTTCTCCATTGGATTGCTGTTAGCAAAAGATTCAAGACAACACAAACAACAACAATAATCTTGTGCATTTTCATTCTCCTCATTACTGCCATCTTTCGTTTTCATAGTCTATGCTTTATTTTTTTTAACTTATTTTCATTACTAAAACACTCTTCATTGCGCTTTTTACATTTCTACTGGCTTCTATAGCCATTTCATCTTTGACAGGTGTATCAGTTAATACAAAGCAGATTTGATATCGTGAATTTCATTAGTTCAGACTACCATTGTCTAAAATGATTTGAAATATCTGAAATAACCAATAAAAAAAGGAATAGCTGAAAATAACAATTATATTAAGCAAAAAACCTGAAATGAAGTTACAATAAAATAAAAGACAAACAACAATTGAAAATTGAGAATAAATAAAAATTAAAAGATTTCAAGCCAAGTTACTTCACGACTTTTTGATTGTTAGTATCCACAATCGTCTTCGGGGTATCCGGTAAATGCAATTCTTGGAATCGCAATCCGCGTTTGGTGGCCTGGTTTTCGTGAAGGTGCTATGAATGGTGTTTCCGGATCTGTAGGTTCTGTAGTAGGTTCTGATGTTGTACTTACACCCAATTCTTCTTATCCTTTCTGACAATCCTCTGATATGTAGGGAAGTGCAAGTACTGGTTGTGACGTCTTCTATTCCTCTCGCGATGCTCTAGCTGTCTTTCAGTCAAAGTCTGTTCCACCATCACTTTGGAGTAACCATTCCGTTGAAGATCATTTTTGATAATGCCTAGTTCTTTCTCGAGACCTTCCTTCGTATTACAGAGCCCGAAAGCACGGTCTACTACAGTCTTCATTCCTACAGATGTTTCCCACTTAGTGTCGGTCCTCTTCACCAATATGTCTAAGAATGGCAAATCTTTGTGGACTTCTTTCTCTATTGTGAAAGTTATGGTAGGTTTTAAGCTGTTGAAGCGCTTCAGGAAGGTGTCTAGTTCTGTATTCCCATGGTTCCATATTATGAAGGTGTCGTTAACGTATGTCAACCAGATCAGGGCTTCTTCAATGGCCCTAGTTTCAAACCACTCCATATATACATATATTAGCTATAACTGGTGAGAGTGGCGATCCCATTGGCAGCCCCTCTTCTTGCGTGAGGAATTCGTCCTTCAGTTGTAAATATCAGTTTTGTAAACAGCATCCTAGTAATTTCATGATTACTTCTATAAGTAAGTTACTTCTATATCTTTTAGGTCCCCGTCTTCGAATAGCTTTATCTGTATGATCTGAAGTGTTTCTTCAACAGGAACGTTGGTGTAAAGGCTTTCCACGTCCAAACTGATTAGTTGATATTGATCTGTGACTTCGATTGCTCCTATAGTAGTTCGATGAAATGTCTTGAATTTTTCACAAAATATGAAGTTTACCTGTATTGGGAATGGTTGTATTATTGGCAGTAAAAATCTAGACAAGTTTTGAGTAGTTGAATCTCTGGAGCTAATGATTGATCTGAGCAGAACACCCTTCTTGTGGATTTTGGGTAGTCCATACAAGTGAGGGCTATCCTTTTCCGAAAAATAGACTTGGCGTTTTTTCAAAGTCCGGTACAACTTCCTTTCAATTGATGCAGTAGGGTCCTGTAAGCTTAAGATTTTCGTGTATTGTGCCTTCTGAAGAATCTGTTTGATCTTCTGTTTGTAGAGATCAGTATCATTCACAACAGTAGCGTTTCCCTTATCTGTAGGTAGGATCTTGATGGTGTTATCTCTGCGTAGGCCGTTAAGAGCTCTACGTTCTTTATTGCTCATGTTAGATGTTGGAACTGATCCTCGATCCAGCTGTTCTCCTCTGATTTTCAATCTAAATTCTTCTGCCTCGATCTGATCAATAAGCGAACTGGTGAATTCCACTGCAGTAATTATCTCCAAAGTGGACACAGATGTTGGCGCAATGGCGAAGTTTAGATCTTTCCTCAACAAGGATTCCTCTATGTCTGTGAGCAGACGGGAACTCATGTTAATGACGTTGGTGGCTACATTTGTTTCCACATTAACTTTACCCACTTCCTGTTGTGGGTATATTTCAGGGATTTCAAATCATTTCATGTCATATTAGACAATGGAAATATGAACTAATAAAATTTACCATGAAACATTGTCAATAATGGTCAACCACATTCAAACAAAAGATTTGATCTCACGTCGTTTTGATTCCCTTTCCTGGGAGGAGCTTATTTTGGTAACAGCTCAAGTGTTTCCCAAGAGAACACATATTGTTTGTAGCAGATCTACAAGCAAGACAACGTATATAATTCAAAAACAATATATGTACAATGAAATTTCGAAAATACTATTCTAAAAATGAATTTTGAAAGCAATATAATGTCTCTTCATTGCCCGAGAATATTCCTGTATCGCGTAAATGTGTAACAGCAGGCATGGTTCTAGCTTTTGATTTATTTGTTGCTTTTGAAATATATTTGCATTTCTGAGTTGCATTTACATCTTCCTTCTAGAGTGTTTTATGATTTATGTTATGGGGTATCTTAGTTGTGTCACAAATAATTTTGAGTTTTGAAGTGCTTCTCTCTCCTTCAGTTGATCATTATACCAAGGAACCGGTAAAAATTGTTAAAGTGTGGAAAATATTTTCAATCAAAGCATTGTTATAAAATTCACATCTTCATTCCTATAAAAAATATTCCAGTCAATTTCAAGTAACTGTGAGTGGATTTTTTCTAAGCTAGTTTATGTAAAAGACCTACACATGAATGGTTTGTGTTTCAGTGATCACATTAGAATTCAGAAAAAGAAACTGGCCATCATGGTCAGATAACAAATAAACTATTTCTTATGTTTGTACAAACAACTACACTTTGATGCACTAATTCTTGTTGGTTCTTCAATCAATTTAGAGAGCCCAAATTAATTCAAAATACACTTCAAGATGTCCAATGGCATTGAATATAAAGATGTAAGATCCAAAGTAATTTCATAAACTTCACCTTACGATTTGATCTTTACACACTTTATTTAAAGAAATATATCACATGTTTCACCAACACAGTATTTTTTTCCTAGTGACTTTTATATAAAATATATATTAAAATCACGAATAATATTGATTTTGTCCGAGATAGTATGTATTTTATACATTTTCAAAATTATTAAGAAATATTTTGACGTGATCATTGTCAGTTAAATAAACTGTCACGATGGACAGCTTAAGTGACACAGTTTTATTGGGTGGGATGAAAAAGAAAAATTGGGTTTGAAACACAAAAAGACTTTGCATACTTTATTATCATTATAGATATAATATATATACTTCCACCCGATATCATACTATAAAACGATCAAAAATTTTTCAATCCGAGCCTGCTCCCATTGAAAATTTTCTGATCTCAGGTTACATATGTGATTAATGTAATCAGTATAAAGATTATTAATGAATTACATGTGCAACATGACTCAATTGGATGCCAGAAATGACTTGATAAAACTACCTGACAAAGGCAAACATAAATTAAATTAACACAGTTACAAATAAATATACAACTATTACAGTGATGGTACGATCCATAAATGTAAGCATAATCAGCAGGATTATTTCAAATACTGACGAATTCTGTTAATGTTACTTGATATTCTTCATTTGCTAGATAATTCAAACATTCTAGTAATTGGAAAATGAAGGGAAGCTGAAATTAGCCTTTCATTTATAGATCATAACTGAAATCAACTAACACAGCCTTAACCAAAATATATTGACGATATGTTTTATGCAAAATGTACACAATTTCTTTCATATGAATTTTGAAAATTTTTCAACTTGGTGTTACTGGGAAAAGTTATTCTATAACCGAATTCAAAGTGGAGATTAGCTCAGAACAAATTTTTGCAAAACAAGATATTTCTACATTCTCTGTAAGACACTTGATACTGAAGATATCTTTTTACACATTTGTAAAAAATATGTCAATACTTAAATTGAAGTAAATTTGGATTGATATGCGATCCTAAAAAATCGCTTTGGATGACTATTTCATGGACTGTTGTGTTGATACTATGTATTAAAAAAAAAAAGAACTCTTTGCGATTGCCAAAAAATATAACAGAAAGCCAGCAATAGGTAATGAGTAGTAGCTTTTTAAGGCAATCCATGTTAAAGTACTGAAAAATACTTTGTAATGCTATTTTCACATAAGTGTTGCTTGAAACAATAGCACACGGTTCATAATATATTAGGAAAGACTATTGAGTATGAAAAAATACATTAAAAATAGCTAATGTAAAAAAAATATCACGAGAAAGTGTCTCACTGTATGTATTGAACCACTTAGAGGGAAAAGGCATGGATGCTTATAAAGGGGCTTGAATTTTGAAACATCTCTGCCTTGAAAAAAAGTGAAAATTTCTTTCAAATACCATGTAGCTTTGATTTTGATAATTAAGCAAACAAGTTGATCAGAAAATGTTTCAACTAGTATTTAGTGATGAATTGGTACATTGTGTACATTTTGTATCTCATATCAGGGCGGATACTTGATTTTTCTAATGTAGTCAATAGACATACACAAATACAATTTTTTTAATGCACCTCCGGATTCTTGCCTTTTGGCAAATAAAGGTTATATTTTTGAAATATATTTACCTCATTAGTAAGCTGTTAATAAATTACATTTGCACATATTGACTAAAAATTATTATATAATTGTCTGTATTTGTTGTTTTTATATCTCAATAAGTAGGCAAGTAGTGTTTCTTCAACACTTTTGAGTACAACCAATAATAATTTGGAAGATAATAAAGGTACTCATACCAAGAAGCAAATAACAATTTTTTTTTTAATATACTCTGTATATTATGTTGCCCCAAAAACAGATAACTCGCCTATACCATATAAAAGAGATGTTTCCGGAGATATTTTCATTTCACCCAGAGAAATTCATGATTTGATTCATTGCGTAAACAAAGAGTTTAAAAAGTTATGAATATTTTGATAGCATACGTTTTTAGCGGATAGTTTAAAATGGGTGGTGAAACTATGTGTAAAACGGTTGGACCGACTCACTCATGCAAAGCCATATTCAGCCGCTTCAATAGTAAATATAAGATAGTTGAATGAAAAATAATTAGCGGACAGAAATTTTTTATCAAAATTTTCCTCCCAATTATGGATATAGTAAATTATTTTCCAAGTTGCAGGTTTACATAAATTTTAAAATTGAAGCCTAGATATTTTTTTATTAATTTTGGAGCTATTTTTTGAAGGTTTGAGTAAATATCCTCGCTGAAAAAAATCTTCAATTTTTTCACGGACAATGAAAGATATTAATTAAAAACTCAAGTTGGACTTGAAAGCTGGTAGTCCTGTGTTCAATCTGGGACTCAAGACAATTTTCAATATTTTTTTTCGCTTAATTTTCACACCATTTGAAATTGAGGAGGAAATATTTTTGAATGCTTTTTTTGCTTCTTATTATAAAATTCTCATTCGAGATATTCTTCACAAATGAGTCTTATTAAAAAATATCTCTGTTACAAGTCATAGAAAAAGTATAGTATTCTACTCGCGAGAAATGGCCATTACGTGTTCTGATGATTTAAGATGCTCGCGTCGACAAACTTCACTCTCATATTGGTACAATTTCTTTACTTAAGGATTTTCGAAAAAGTGAATCAGAATTGATATTTTGATTCTCATCTACTTTGAAATCAACAACTTGGAATTATAAAGGATATTGCAGATTGAAAAAGACTCACTTGAATTTCAGATTTGAAAATATTGAAAGAAGTATAACAAGTTCAACTCATGAAAAAACAGACATCAAAGTAAATGTACCTTTTGAAATACAGACTACACAATGAGAAAATCTCGAATTGAGAGAATAGAAAAAGATAGCAACAAATATGCCTCATGGTTTTCTGGATCACCTTGTATAGACTGAAATATATTTAAAAAGTAGTGTTTTGAATCATTTATCGCTTCTATTTGAAATTTTTCTCCCCCTTTCTTCATACGAAATTAAAATTGCAATGATTTTCTGTAAAGGAGTTGACCGAGAAATTAACTAAAAAACATTTGCAATTTTTTATATATTCAAATGCACCTTAACCTAGATAATAATCAAAAGTAATGTTTTATTCAGGTTTGCATTTTGAGAAAAAGGTAAACTTGACTGCTTTTTAAATTTTATCTGTATTTCAAAAACTAATCAATTCAATTAGAAAAATGTGGAGAATATTTTTTATTTTTTGAATTTTGATCTATATTTTCTCTTTTGGAAAATACTCAGGTATACATAACTGTCCTAATTCATTTCAATACAAAGGACAACATTATTTTTTCAGTCGACTCAGTGATAATAATAAACATACCCGAAAATATGTTAGTAATATATCTATCACTTATTTATCTAACACACAGAAATTTCAAATGTCTTTGAAAATATTTTTGAATCGAACATCAATGTTTTCCGTTGCACAGTCATGAATATCTTTCATTCCCACTTTCTCTTACATTAATTACAATTTCAGAATATTTACTCCTAAGTACTCTTGTTGACTTATTGTTATCTTGAATGATGTTTACGAATGAAAAAGTTATATTGAAATAATAGAAATATATTTAAAAATATATTTTTCAATCAGAAATACGAACACTATTTATTTATATATGTAGGCAATCAAAATTTTAGAAAAATATTCACATAACTTCAGAACAAACAAATATATTATTATTACTAATTGCGTAATACATTTTTTTCCAGCCAATTTTCATCGAAAATACTTTTTTACCGTTCATCATTTTGATGTGAATTATGTCATCTTTTCTATTTGCATATGATTCTACCCAGAAAAATGTTGCACAAGGTTTTTTTCAATTGTTTTTAAAGATAACTTTTTGAAAAAATTAGTTTCAAACTCAAAAGGTGTAAGGTTTTTTTTTTCATTGAAATTGCCTAGTTTCTGAGGTATAGTTGAGAAAATTAAAAAGTTAATATAACAATTGAACCAAAAAAGGCTACTAAAATAATAATTGAAGAAATGAATGTTTACCATAAAGTACATATTTCAATTTGTATATAACAACAACGTGTATAGAACATTTTAAAAGGGATACTTTGAAGACTTTCTGAATATCATATAATCAATGGTGCGCTCTCCAGCAATAAGGGATATATCACTTATATTCCTGTCTTTCAAAAAGAAAATTTCTAGGATCTACGAAAAAGTTAGGTTCTCAAAATAAAATTGAGAAACACGCTGTCTGTGATTGATAATAATAAAATAAAAATTTCAACTGCCACATTCATGAAACAAAAGTCTATACGAATATAACGAAATACCCAATCATATTTTTTTATAATACTCATATTTCTATTTCGAATTGTTAACAAGAAGAACTTGTACTAACAATTATTTGTGTCGGCAAAATGTTGAGAATTCTACTCAAAACGAATGAGGTCCACACTTTCAAGGGACGACAGTTTTAAAAATAAAAAAATATAAAGAAACCTAACCATGAAAGCCTTACACAATTTATTTCAAACTTTTTTCACTAGATTTTGTACAGACTGACAATTGTTCCCTAATTAAAGGGAGAGGAAGCACCATCGATTCACATGTGAACTTTAACCATGTTTGTAAATGTAATTACATACTAGTATGTATATTCAAAAAACTTCATAAAGTACGGTAAATTGTTAATATTACATGAGTACTACACCAATAGGAGCAAGTAATATCTTTGTAACATTAATAAATACCACAAAATTACATAAATATGATATACTTATAAAAGGTATGAAACGATACTTATTTGAAGAAATAATTGTTCATTTCTTGAAGAAACCTGATCTCTACAAAATAAGCTCAAATAAATAAATGACCGAGACTTTTTTCATTTTAAAAGTATATCTTCTCCATTCAGTTTTGTTGCATTTTCAAACAAATGCACATTTATAAATAAAATATATTATTCATATCAACTCATAACATTGATATACCAACCACACACAGTATGATTAAAATAGATGACATTTCACAAACCGTTTCACAAATTGCTGAAAAGGTTTTGAGGAATAGATACAATTCTTCATTAAACAAAATTATTAAGTGCAGTGTACATAATCGTAATTAGCACTGACAAATTGAAAACTGATATATTCATTACTGATGAGAGAATATATCCTCAAGACCTCCCGCACCCAGTTTTCCACTAAAACTGGAATAACTAGCCGTCAAATTCATTAAAAATTGAAATGCATCATTAAGTTCGTGTTTAATGTGAATAATGACGTCCAAAGAACATTTAGTAATACTTTTTGAATCATTTTTGAAATGACAAGTTTAACTTTTACAACTCTTTCATTTTCATGACCAAAGTATCAACTTTATTGCACATTGGAGAATGATGCACTTTATGCAGTTCTCTAACTTCAGAAATAACACTACACCCATTTTATGTGTGTTTTACATTCGACTTCTGTGCTAGAGAAATATATTTGCGAACCAGAATTATTCATTTAGAATATTATAACTGTGAGTCATTAAAGCTCATATATATTTACAAAAAAAAGTTTAAAACAAAAATTTCTGAAAAATATCACGATATCTGAAAATCAATAGATTTACATTTGCAATGACAAAATAATTATTTGTATTAAGAGGTACGATATACCACTTCATATGTATATAACACACATAAATAATAGGAATAACAAAACAAGTAAAAAGAATTTCAGCGTAAATCAAAAAGTAGGTATAGCAGAGAAACCGTTTCAAGAAAATGTTTCCCAATGGGAATACTTCGACAAACCACTAAATAAAAATAAATAATTCAATTAATTTTGGGATTCCAGGAGAACAACAAAAAAATGTAAAAGAGGTTATTTCTAGTTCCCAATTCACACAATACCTACTTATTGAGCTACACCTTTATGTGATGAATACACAATTCAAAATCAAATCGGATTAGACATCATAAAAAGGAAAAAACCCATTGGGTTCAGCTATTTACTTGGGCGAATCTTCACCACTCCACTCTTCCAATTCTTCTTGTAGTCTCAACTCAAGTTTTCTCATGTCGTTGGCTATATCAGCTTCATACATTGCATCTTCTGACGTCACAGATGGGTTACCATTATTGTAATTTCCCATCGCTTTCAGTGAATGAACAATCTTGTTCTGTAGGGAGGAAAATGCAAATTTTATTAGCTTTGAACAAAGAAACAACTTGTACTAGATGGTGTTTTCCACATATTAGAAACAAAATTAAGAAATAGCACACTGCTGATATTGATCTATAACCTATAACAATTTGGGTGGGTTAATACTTCATCATAATTATGCACATTTTCTTATATTCTGTAAGTGTAGATAAAAAACTGTGTTGACAATGCATTTCTTTGTTAGCCCATTGTTGCCCACTCTACAAATGCCAACCCTCAAAAATTGAGAGTATAAATTGAATACATTGCACAACTCAGATAACCCAAATAAGTCAATAAATTGATGGATGTAGCCGTTAATACGTGGTAGGAAATCATAATGAAGAAAAGATAAATTAAACTTTCTCTGTTTTTTACCACTTTTATCTGTAACTAATGTTAATGCAGTTTCATCCTATACAGACATTTTCAAACTTATACAATAAGCTAACAATGATTCATTACATTCGACATTATATACCACCCCTGTAGGTACTAATAGAAATAGAGGTACTTGACTTGATTGAGCACCTGAATTTACAGTTCACAATGCGGATGTGCCAATTTAAAAACTGTCGAATAAACTAAATCGATTTGATCATTTAACAGGTTGCACCCACAATGTTTATGCTTGTTAATTTCCAAGGATTCTAAATAAAATCTCAAAGGATTGAAAATCTGTGCCAATTATATAATATATTTTGTATGGATAGAGAACAATCTCAGAATTTTCAAAGCAGCCTAATCAAATGAGAGGGTTAGTTGGCAAAAATCTTCAGACAAATTATCTAGTACAGATCAGTGAGCCTTTCTGAAAATTGAAATCAACTGTTATTGTAGTTTCACATCCTTCTTCAAACATGGAACTATTGCTGGATTGTACTCAGTACATTGGTACACTTATATAATGTTTGGACTTGAAAGTTTTTTCAACTTAGTCAGTATTGAATGAAAACAAAAATCTGTTGGTCCTTTTTTTGCACCTATGAAGGACAAAAAAATTTTCAGTCGCACAAAATAGACATTAATAATTGAATTTCTTCAATTGGAACCCTATATTGATCCAAAATATTGACCTTTCCTAAGTTTGGAATCCAGTTCATTACTTTATAATATTTGTTTTTACACATTTAAAACTTTAACAGAAATGACTTACCAAACATGCCTCTTTCTGCTTTTCCTGAATACCCTGTTCAATCAACTGAAGTTCTTGTGTGAGCCTCTCACTGTCGCTCAGGTTCGTTACACCCTGAGTCGCTATTTTCAAGTCATTCAACTGTTTTTCTAGATTGCGAAGTTGTATTTTGACTCTGTGTGACTCTGCTATTAGTTCTTTAGATGGATCTTGCAGTCTTGGATGATGGATCAAAAGTTGGGATCCTGAAAAGCAGATTTTTACTAAGATTATTGTGAACAAATATATTTATTGGCTGAAGACATCACGATTCTTTATGTAAGAAGATGAATAATTGTTTCTGAAAGTGAAAAAGACTGTTTACGATTCAATGAAGTATTTAGTTTAACCTAGACGAAAATCTAGTTACACTAATGTATAACAATTTTGATGAATACTTTCACCTGAAGAAAGTAAGAAAAAATGGTAAACGCACATCTCATAAGTACACATATTCGACTGAAATTATAAAGGCGTACACAATGAAAAATACAAAATAAAACGAACTCAAAAAAACAAAGCTTCAATAAATATTTTGAGCCTGATAAATCTGTTAATATCATCAGCAGATGGCTTCATTGATTTGAATGTGTGATAATAACTATCAAGTCCTTCTTCGCATAGGAAGAGTTTGTTCATAAGGTTATTTTTACAACGCCTACGAAGATATCTGTAATATTTGATGATACTGAAAAACTTTTCCAACAAAGACAAAATATTCATTTTCAGCTGATTTCTGAGAAAATATTATTTGAGTAACTATTGTTGAGCATACATAATTATTTGATTACATGAATGAAAATCATCTGCTGTTACTAAATACAATAGTTATTCTTTAAAAAATAAATACAATAGTTTGTGAAACAATAAAACCTATACATGATGAAGCTTATTTTTCATTGATGTACCCCAGAAGATTGCATTTAAATGAATTCAGTGTTGCACTCTCCTTGATATGAATGTCTAGATTATTATATTGAATCAATCCTTTGTGAAATAAAGAATTAATGTTTTTTTTGTAATTGATAATGGATTCCAGTTCAGTACAACTAACACTGTATCAATGGGAGTGGACTTGTTGCATTTGAGAATGATTGGCATTGCTCTATTCTGCAATTTTTGTTATACTGTTAAAATTTAGTAAAGACAGTAAATTTGGACAATATTCGAAGTGAGGCTAGAGAATGTGTAATCTATAATTGTCTTTGGATCACCCAGTATTCTTGTAGATTCTGTCCATTAGTATTTCTTCATTACAGTTGTCATCCAAAAATAGTGAAAAAAACCTAAGAAGTTGATATTGTTATATTCAGTTAGCAATAGAGATCCTTATAAAAAATGTTTTGTCCAATTTCACAAATCAGATTTCACATATGTCTAAGAAATTTGAGATAAAATATCAATAGTAGTCTGTCGAGGAACTTTATTTTCAATCAAATCAAAATATGCTTTATTACCCAAGATCTGAACATCTTATTGGCAAAGTCTAGTAAAGTGAACCGTGTATATGGGACATTAAATTAACAAATGTATATGGACAAAAAGTACATGAATATTGAGTAAATGTAAAGATATAATGCTACGTAATGAACGTTGATAGCCATTTCGTGTTGATTTCAATAACGTATTTACACAAAGCTACATGCCAATTACTTGATTGAGCTTTGGTAGAATTCATCCACCTTATAATAGGGCCTACCAACAAGGAATTCTTTTACTTTCTTTCTGAATTTATTTTCATTATATATTCGCCTTAAATTAATGGAAAGGTAATTAAATAACTTCTTGCTATTGAAAATAATAGAATTTTGTGTAAGGGCTAGAGTAGATGTTGGAAGAGAAATGAAGTAAGACTGACGTGTACTATTAGTTTCATCTCCTCAATCGTCGCAAAACGCAGACCTTTCATGAAACAGTCCCATTCCAAACAGCTCTTTTATAAATCACCCATCTTAAAAGTAGGGGGAACTTTTCCGAAAAATTTCCCACTGAACTGTATTTAAGGAAATAATTACGTAAAATTGAAAAAGACATACCATATAAATCCCTGACATTGTTGTGTCCTTGGCTTAATGCTTGACAATAAATGTTATTATTATTGTATTGTACATATCCCTCAGTACCAGGAGGACCAACAAGAGCATGCCCAGCAGGTATTGGTGCCTGGTGGAAATGACTATTGTTGTTGTAATAATAAGATGCCACTGGACTATCAGATGATACAGGCCTCCTTACCTAAAAAAAAATGTAAATACAATAAAAACAAATCGTTCGTTTATTATCCTCCATTAAAGTTAATGACCTCTTGTCAAGTGGATTTATTTATTTCTTAGACAAACTACTTAAGAAGCGAAAATTCATCAAGTTCTTAACACGTTTGCTGCGGACAGCGTCAAAAGACGTCCGCAGCTTCCATGGTGGAAAGCGAACAGCACATCTTTCGACGTCCACAAAAGTCTGGCGTATAATGCTTTGGTGTATTATCAGTCTCTGCGCGAGAACATCCGCTGTTCTCAGCCTTTTGTAAACTTATCGAATTAGTTAAATATTGGTACCGTTCAATCAAACAATCACAGTCAATCAATCAATTTATTCACAGTAAGAAATATACAAATGTTGTCAATTAACATTTTCAAGAGCTGTGTGGTATATCCATGAGATCAAAAATATTAATCTAACGTTGACTAACAGCGTTCGGGATTTGGGAGTGTTGTTTGATAGCAAAGTAACTCAAATTATTGGGATTTGTTCAACGATCCACAGATAAATTTTCTATAAATACCTTTAAAATATTGTACTGTTCTTTGGTACGCTTGGTCTTGGAAAATAATTGCGTGATATGGAGTCCTCTATATCAGACAGATATATCTATGATCAAGAAAGTACAAAACAAATTTCTGAGATCATGTGCATTTAAGCTCGGATATCTGAGGTCCGACTATGAGTACTCAGACATTCTACTTCTTCTGAATTTATCTACTTTGGAGCACCGCCGAGCTGAAATTGATCTAAGACTTCTTCATAAAGTTATAAATGGTGATATGAACTGTCCATTTGTAACANCAAGGAACAGTATCTCTGGAAACTCTTAAGCTAGCTTATTATGGTCTTGTTCAGTCCACACTGAGTTATGGTCTTATTGTTTGGGGCAATTCTGCTCATATTCAAAAGGTGTTTATAATACAGAAAAGAATTTTAAGATGTATGGTGAGAGCCAACCCTCGAGAGAGCTGTAGAGAAATCTTTGTTCGTTTGAGAATTCTAACTCTTTCATGCTTATATATATATTTAATAACTCTTGAGGTAAAAAAACGGCACTTCAGCCATGAGAGGGGTTTTATGATCCACAATTATAGTACACGCAACGCTAATTGTATACGTTTGCCATTCTCTCGCTTATCACTGGGACAGAATTCATATATGTATCAGGGAATTATTTGCTATAATCACACAGTCACACTAATGGGTGAAATTGAGAGCTTTAAATTATTTAAATCAAAATTGTTTGATCTTTTATGTTCAAATGCCTTTTATTCAATGGACGAGTTCTTAGCATTCTGTTCATAGTATATATAAATTGGTATAGGGTAGCTTATGCTTTTATTTTTATACTAATTGTATTTGTTGTATGTCTGACTAGTCCGATAAGTTTTAGGGAGGCAAGTTTATATGCTGTATCTTGTAAAACTTCAGTGATGAATAAACATATCTATCTATCTAACTTGTTTATCATCTTGGTCAAAAGTAAGGGCTTTTTCTTTTTGTGGACGTTGTCTCTCAAACTCATTGACTTGTTTCAGTCACACTATGATTTTTTTTGAACTCGGAATGTGTTTTGTGGGTAACATTAATGGGTGTTATTATAATACTCAGTTGAAATTCATATCAGAACTGAAACGAGTTTATGGTTGGACGACCCCAATGGAAAATTTAAGATGACTGTGTGAAATTCAGTTAATTACGTATGATTACAGAAGATTATCAAATTCTGCATCTAGACCAGAATGGATCCTTAATACCACAAGAAAGCAAATGACTACTTCAATTTTCAAAAAAGTTGGAAAGGATGGAAATATATCCACGAATATAATGAAGCTAACAAACTTACCAATGATGGAGGAGTATCTCGAAATGCAGCAGACACAGACTGACTGATCCCATTATCTTTCTGCATTCTCGAGATTGGTCCATATTTGCTTATTGAAGATGTTTCATAAGGTACATAATCATCATCGGCGGCCAATATAGAGTCTGATCTCACGAAAGTTGGTCCCGTAATTATCTGCCCTGTCCAGAAATTGTAAGGTGAAGTTGGGCTATCCAAATCATGTTGGGACTCTTGTCGAGCTAGAGTGCTGGCTGTGTTAGATATTTCTGTAGCAGCATTTTTCCCAACTACTTTTTCCAATTGGGATATAACTTCTTGTTTCCTTTGGTGCAGCTCTGCCAGACTTTTTGTAGAGGTACGATTAGATTTCTGTTGTGGTGAGTAGTTCTGATTTTTTGCTATTTGAGATATCTAGAAAAAAAATCAACATTACTGGAGATCTCTCATGAAACCTAGGAGATTGAAATATATTGTATATACAGTGTCACCGATAAAGTCCGCATCAAATGGGAAACTTTTTTATTTATCGTTTTATGTGAAATTTGATTTTGGCAGTAGATTTTGCTTAAGAAATGATGTCAAATGGCGTCTACAAAATAGGTCACGTGATTTCCTTAACCTGTCAAAATTGACATTTAAAAAAAGAAACATCGAAAAATGACATTATTCTTCAAAATATCCAAAAATATCAAAGGATAAAAACATTTTC